AATCAATTATTCTGCGGATTATCTAGCTAATTTTCAGATTAACTAGGGTGATCCGTTGAAGTGAGGAGAATTGCTTCATTTCTCAAATTACCTAGGTAATCTGCATATTACCTAGATACTCTGCACATTAGCTACTAGGCACTCGTTAAAATGAAAATTATATCTTTGCTGTAACAACAACAACGTTTCTGTAAACGTTTCTATAAATATAGATATAAATTTAATATTATGTTTTACAAATATGTTACATTAGGCAGCATTTATGATATGTTAATGAAAAAACTAATAGCGGCCCAAAACAACAGTTTATATTAATATGGGTGACGCTCAGTGTGTTGACTGCGAGATTCTGCTTGCAGTGTCAGTGTCGGCGAAAAAACTTAGCAACTTATGCGAAACAAGACGTGTGACTGTTTTGTCTTATCTTGCAAATTTAGAAACAAATTACGTCATGAGATACGTCAGGCGATACATATTGACATTTGATTTGCCTTAGTTCCCCCCCTCCAATTTTTGTGAATAAATGATTCCTATCGAATAAAATGCTGTGGTTAAGATGTCAGGTATTTATATTTCTGTGTAAATTAATTGGCGTGTGTAGTTAATTTCGCTTTTAAATACAGTCCACTCATTGAGGCTAAAAATCTTTTTGAGCGACTTAATCATTTCAAGTGCGGATGGGATTTCGTTTTATTCTTCAAATGCTGTGAATTACATTCGGGCATTTTTTTCCCTTTAGTACTGAAACAGTTCCTGAGCTGAAATTCAACCCAGCGCATAAATGTAATAATCATAATAGATTACGAGATAAAATTTCAAGCACTATTCATTTAAGAGGTTTTGTTGAATTGGGAATACTTTTAGAATGAAACTTAAACAATATTTCTGATTAGTTTATTGAAACTTTTAATACCATTATATTAAGATATGATGAAAAGGATTTGGATAATAGAAAATCAAATAGTCAAGATGTTTTAGATTTCACTTTGAATCGAAAATTAGAAGTATGGAATGGAATGAATGAAATACGTCGACTGCATTAAATACCCAGAAATGGCAAATACTGTGTAGGGATTTACATTTATTTTAAATAACCAATTTTATCTAATTTGTTATTCTTTGCTATAAGCCTTGATTCCTTTAATTGTCAATGCCAGAATATTTAAATTTGGTAGCTCGCGTGAAGGAATGCACATTCTAAGTAGATAAAATAGTTTAAAAACCGAGTTTCAGCAGGAAAGAGCAAGAGTTAGGTGTGAGCCTCTGCTGTGTAAGCTTTTGCTCCCAGAGTTATTGCCGGCTCGTGTGGCTTAATTGCATTTACTTGCTGCCACTAGTTTCCAACAAGGGGTTTAAGAAACGGGATTTAGCTGAGCGCTGTAGTTTAGTTCTCTCACTTGTTCCAATCTTCAAATTTTTAGTTTCGTTATCTGATTTCAGTTACCGCCCTAGAAGAGGCGTAGTTTGTTAGCGTCGAGTTGACGCATTGTAAATTTTAAAGAGTTAATAAAGCGCACTTTTAACCCTTCTTCTGTGAAATTACTACTTTGCCATTTTTTACACAAAAGTGAATCTAGTTAACTCTGTAGAGACATTAGGTATATTTTTGGAAGCAGGAAAGATGAAAAATAGCAACCGCCTTTGCCTGGAATCGAACCACGGACCTCTGGAATACCGGCCCAGCGTGCAGAACCACTACACTATGAAGGCAAGATAGGAAAGTGAGAGAAATACCTTATATACTCCCCTTTTTAAAGGGCGACTGGTGATTTTAGGGGACCCAATCGCCAAATCCTGGGTGTGAAGAATCCTCATCCAACACCCTTTTTAGTTCGGACGCCACTGTAGAGACATTAGGTATATTTTTGGAAGCAGAAAAGATGAGAAATAGCAACCGCCTTCGCCGGGAATCGAACCACGGACCTCTGGAATACCGGCCCAGCGTGCAGAACCACTACACTACGAGGGCACGATAGGAAAGTGGGAGAAAAACCTTATAACTCTACAAATGGAATTACTAAAGTTATTCCTTCCCGCATTTTGCAATTGATTTTTGATAAACGGCGACAGTAAATTCATATTTATGAAAAATAAATACCTCATGCAATATGGAAATTATTAAATGAATCTGGGTAATTTTTAATGCATTAAGAAAAGGAAGGAGAAAAAATATTTAATGGCAAATCTACTTAAGTCTAAAAATTGTTAAAACATATAAAACAGAGTTTAAAACAAACCGAACAGAAGAAATTTTTGTGCTTAATATTCCCGAAGGTAAATAAATCTCTTTTCATTTACAAATATCAAAAGGTGATGTCACTTTTGCAGATATATCCAAGGTCGATAAATACAGCCTACCGAACAATGATTTATTTTATCTTTCTTCTACCTTTTACAATGTTAAAGAAGAAAAAAAGAAATTGAGTTATTGTCAGAAGTTTAGTATGTCACGATGAGTCCAGCTTGATCACAGAATTATCGAAATTTACAATCTGAAGTCTGAGAAACATTGAATTTACTAAAAGGCACAATATTTGGACTTTGGGAAAAGCTCCAAGACACAAGAAAATAGACACGAAACAGTACAGTGTTGCCCAACAATCATTACCTCTCACTATCTTAATATGAACTGAGTAATGGCCTATAATGGTATTTTCCAAAACAACTCTGATTAAACAAAAATTACAATTTCATTTTGTGATGTATGTTTCAATATGACGCCAATTTGCTCGAGTCTTTAGTATATAATTTGATCCTATATTTACTACAGTCTCAGATCTGTAGTAATGAGTAAAAATATGATTTCTTGCCTCTTCAAGTAAAAGGAATTAATTAACTCTTAAAAATATACCTCTGTTTCCTTTCACGTATATGGTTTTCCCCATGTGTAACGTGTATACGAGCCAGTTTCCCTTAGAAAGTCCTCCACGAAGGCATCCCTCCCCTTAGGCAGATAGCCCTCGAGGCTTTGCCATAATCACACACACACACCTTCACGTATGATTTAGAAACTCGTCGAAACTAAACTTTCTTACAAACTAGCAAATTATATAATAACTTATAACCCTTACTCTATCAAGATTCAGAATTATCCTTATGATAGAAATCAAAAATATATTAATACGTTAACTACCAAAATTTTAAATTATTGCTATGCCCCTATAATATTCATTTTTAAAAGGCTTTGCGCTAAGTACTTTATATTAATTTTATGTTATGTCAGTTATATAACTGCGATTATTATTAATCCACGTACTTATTTTCATACACATCACTTGCCATAAATATATTAAGAAACATGTACGTTATTTATTTTAAGGGAGAAGAAAAAATATACATATATTCATTTTAATATTAATAATGGAGTATGATATCTTCGTCAAAATATAATAATCTGTTCTGAAAGTTTATAAAGCAATAAAAATTTTATTCTGCTTGTTAAGACCTTAATTTTCAAATGTTGATATAAAAATGTCATTATTCTTGTGTTTGCCACCCCCTCTTTTCTTTCAGCATTGGTTCACCTCTTTTTTAGAGAAGTGTCTTACAACTCGAATGAAATGTAATAAACTAGAAGAACTTACTCCTTAGAAGGAACTTTTTAATTTCACCTATATACTGAGGAATTCAGTAATATTTCCAAACCACTTAATATCTTAAACACAAATTATGCCACAAAAATTTCACGCTCTCTTTATTTATGTTTCCCTTTCTTCGTAAAACAATTACTCTTCCAAGCTAACCAAGAACTTGGTACCTAATGTATGTCCACCAGAAAATAATGCAGTATCAATCATTCGGGGGAGGGAGAAATACTTTCAAAAAAAAAAAAAAAAAAAGGAAAAAAAAAAGTTTTCTAATTTTAAATTACGTCCAAAGGGGCCTTTTTTTTTTTTAACGTTTTGTGTATTAGCTTTATTTATAAAATATCATGTTCTTTGCACTTAAAACATAAAATTCAATTCAACAGCTATATCGAAAAATAATTAAAACAGCATATCTTTATAATTTCCGATACACAGTCTCGCACGCTGGAGATAAAAATGTTTTCTTTTTTTCGTACAGTGTTGCCATTGCTCGCTTTGAAATTGTTGAGTTTTTTAATCAAAAATTCGTTAAAGTTTTACAAAATATGAAATAGATAATAAAGCAAATTCCAAATGCCCATATTCGAGTGGAAACGTACGTTATTCAAAATTGGATGGCTCTGGGTACCGTTGTTTTATCACAATGCGAGAAACATACGTACATTAATGCAGATTTTTCATTATTTAATTTTCTTAAATATAAAATAGGGTGATAATATTTGGTGGCAACAATTTGAAGAGTGAATCGGACATTTATAGTAAACCAACGCAAAATGCCAAAACGAAAATAATAGTCCTTCAGGGCAAATTGCCCCTTTGGACTAATAAAAACAATCTTTCTTTTACATTTCTTTTTTAAATTCTGAACAATACTAACACAGTAAATTACAATAATTACAACCAAAATAAGAAAACTCGCTCGTAAGAATTTTACCACAATTAAAACTCTTCCACGTAGAGACAGTTACGTGATGAATATCAAATGGACATCTCTGCGGACTATTAAACGTTAGAAAGACAGAAGAAAAGAAAAGGACAAACGATGGAACTAAACGAACACATCAATTTCACTTTATAAAAAGATAATCACTAATTTGAGTTCTGTTGCATGTTTAAACCGCTGTTTAGCGAGCCAAAGCTCGTATTTCCTATGTTGGTTAATTCGATTTTCGGAAGAGATAATAAGCAACGAGCTATAAACCTATCGTGAGAAAAGCCCATCTTCATCGACCTTGACACAACGCTCGACTGAGCAAATGTGCAAAGAAATCATCCGAGCGTAACTGGCCAATCAATAAAACTTTAGGGACAAACTGCTGCTAAATACTGCCGAAAACATTCTGACACGTTAATTTCTGCGATAAATTTTAAAGAAGGATTTAGGGGGAGGAATTAAAAGAGGAAGACACTTACGGTTAGGTTAACATTAGGAACCGATGGTCCCTGCTCCAAGAGCAATTTGACGATCTCGGTGTTTCCGGTCCACGCCGCCAGGTGGAGCGGCGTCGAACCTTTGTGATCGACGACATTCGTGGAGGCTTCATACTGCAGCAGCAACGAAACGATCTCCCTGAACAGAAAATAACAGTGATCGATTACGATGGTTCATTTAAAGCATCAAAATCATTCATAAATATTCATGCATATAGAAAATTACTATTTAAATTAACATAAATGCCTGCTGTAAGACTATGCTAAAAATATTTTATTGGTTCTTTCTTTCATTTTTTATGAGAAATTGCGAAAAATAATAATGTGGTTTATTTTGGCCATATTCTGGACTTTAAAACCATCACGTCATACCTTTAGATATATTACTTTGAATTCTAAAAAGTACATAGAGGAAAAAAGTCAGTAAACCACATTAACTGAACATACTTCGAGATACATTTTCAGTACAAAGTGGATTAATTTGTAACTGCTTTGTAACGAACGAGTGAATCTGCCTTCCGTGACAGTCTCATGATTCCAAATCAAAATGTTGAAACAATTCGTGTTGAAATGATGCATCAAATTAACTTAACGCACTAATTATTGCGTTCCCGATGAAATTTGAGCGAATTGCACTGGAGTTTCAATTTTTGTAACAACAACACAAAAAAAAAAAAAAAAAAAAAAAAAACGAAAAGATACGACATAACAGATACCACTTTACGTCTTCATTCTGAAAGCATAAATTTGTCCTTAAAATATCAGAAATCACCTACAGTGTGTAATTTGAAAAGTTGTTCTTCAACAAGATTATGTTTTATGTAAAATAACAACTTTTTCTTTTGATTTACATATCCAAATCTTACCTTAAAATACTGTATCAATAGATAAATTTTATATTTAAGAAATTTTATTAATTCAGCATTTAATATTTTATATTGGTAGTACTAAATGAAAATTTCGACAAAGACTTTTTCTGGTCAAGAAGCTCTTCGCATATTTTATTTGTTTATTTCTTTATATTTATTATTAAAATTTTCCGTGTGTATGTACGGATAGAATAAAAGAATCGTTTTTCAACAAATTGTAAAATGAATTTAAGATGGCTTCAGAATGGATTTTTTCGTGACGTCTGTACGTACATATATATGTATCTCGCATAACCTCAAAAATTATTAGCCGTAGAGCACTAAAATTTTGTATATGGGAGATTGCTAAAACAGCTACTTATGCACCTCCCTTTCGTATTACAACAGGCCGCACAAATACCCACCCTTTTACCCGGCTCGGTGAGTTCTGCTCTGCTTTTCTTATATGTTGGTAAACTGTGCATTTTTTGCTTTAAAAGTAATTGAATTGTGTCTTCCTTATGTTCCGGTTAAGGTTTTTATGCTTTTAGTCAATTTGCATGCAAGAGTTGTAGAATTACCGACAATTTAAAAAGGGAATTTGTTTATGGTGCGGTTATTTGTTTACATTAAAAAATCTTAGTAGTATAGTGAATTAAGTCAGGTTTTGCTCAGTGGGACTTAAAATTAACTTAATTTTGTTATGCACCGAAAATTCTATCTTTCTGCCCGTTAGCTGAATTGCTTGCTTTTGCTTAGAAACTCCAATTTTAACTGCAAATTTTTTTAACTGTATTTGGTGTTTTAGGTTTTCCTGTATTTTACAATTTTTAATGAAGACATTTATTTTTTATTTTTTTTATTTTTGCCTTGAACTGAATTGATAGAGTGAGAAATATATCTGTAATGAAATTCGAAGAAATAAGTTTAAACGAAGTGCAGCAAAAAATGTGTAAAATTTAGTAGGCCATACAAAGCCATGTGGTGTCCACATCAACGGAAGTTATGAGGACTAAAGGAATGAGTCACCAAAGGAAGTCATGTGATATCCACATCAGATTTCTTATTATACTCTTAGCTTACCAATGATATTTTTAAGGCAAAGCTGCTTCATTTCATAACATATTATCATTTAGTGTTATTCATTTAAGAAATGATAGGATAACTGATTTTTCTGCGATAACAATTTGTAATAACGATTTTGTTGCAAGAACAATTTTATTTAAGAGTTTTAAAAAAAGTTAAATTCACATATTTTAAAAGTTTATAAAAATATTTTTATTATCTAATATAGCCAGAAATGGATTTTATATATATAGTTTATCGATCTACATATAATTCATATCAAATACACTAAAAAAATTTGTTATCTGTTTTTTAGTAAATGCTGTAAAAACGAAACTCAGGAAAATTGGGTCTCCGCTGCCCTTTAATATAATTCAACACAATGAAATTAGCTTTAAATGTCTTGATATTTTTGTGCCCCATTACGTTTAACGCCTCAAGCTGATCTTTCCTTTTTTGGAAGATGAAATTATATTAAATACATCATTTCTATTTCTTTGGCTATATATTACCATATATAATTTATTTTAGAATTTGTGTAGTATTTAGTATAAATTGACAGGTCTGGGAACAAACTTCGGGAAAGATTCTTTAAGGACAATAAGCATCTTTTCAATTAAAAGGAATGATACACGCGTTAAAAGAAAACAAACAGTATGCTGGCTTTGGTTCCTTAAACATGTATTTTAGATACAGAATTTCTAAAAAAGTTCCAGCGTTGGCGAAACTGTTTTCCATTTTTACACAGTAATATTATTAAAACATTCTTTGCGCTCTAGTGCGTCAAAAACAAAACATTGTATATCTATTGGGTTACCTGAAAAGTCATGATAAATTTTTTTCTATGGTCTTCTATGTTCTTTATTTATGTAAAAAACAATGAACAGTCAACAGTGTATTGCCCGTTTTGTTGGATGAATTTTTGCTTTCTTTTAATGAGCTTTAATTCCTCATTCACAAAAAAAAAAAAAAAAAAAAACTAGCTTTATCAGCGAAAAGTTGATTTACGGTCTCATTTGAAGTGAATGCTATATCATGAAAAACACTTAAAAAGAGCGAAACAAGGGAAAGTCTGAGAGCACATGATCAAGCAAGTATGATACGTGTGGCAACACTTCTCATCCCAACTCCAATAATTTTTGTCAGTGATCATACTTGTGTGAATTCTTGTGTGCAAGCTCTTACTAATGAGCCAACAAATAAATTAGAAAATGTGCTGTCACCAACTGGACAATTTCATCAAATCCATCTTCCAAAAACTTACACAGCTCATTAATCGTACAGGAACTGTATTTCATCCTGATAACGCGAGACGACACACAAGTTCGATCACCTGACTTTGATTGGAGTTTGGATGAAAAGTGTCGCCACGCGTATCATACTCCCCAAATCCTGTGCACTCAGACTATTATTTGTTTTGCTCTCTTCAAAATTTCTTTCGTGGTAATGCATTCAGTTCAGATCAACTCGTAAATCAGAACCTTGTTCAGCTTTTCATTAATAAAGCTATGTTCTTTTGTGAATGAGGAATTACGAAGCTCATTAAAAGAAAGCAAACAGTTATCGAACAAAACGGGCAATATACTATTAACTGCTTATTGTTCTTTATATAAATAAACGAACAAAAACATAGAACATTTGAAAAACATAGAAAAAATGGGTAAGAACGTTTCAGACAACGCAACAGAAGCACAGTTGTCGCGAAAATGTTGCTGGATGGCTGTCTAATGGTTCTGCCCTCATTAAAACAACATTCACCGTTAAATTTATTACCCTTGAAAATATTCAATGAAGTTATTTTTTGAATTTTGCTCAAAAATATTCGCAATTTCCATTTTAACTAAAGCAAAATGAATGTGTTATTAACTTGAATTTTTATTCTTTGGGAACTCGTAAAATACCTTAGTGCTGAAACTGTTCTCATACAGTTCTTCATCATATTTTGAAAAGCTTTCCAACTAGAATTGCTTGTCGAGAACCATTATTAAAAAATTTAAGCGTGTGGCTACCTTTTCAGAACACCTTGCAGACGCATATACGCCAAAGGTGTACATTCTATTTGAGCTAGATGTCCAAAGGCACATCATGTCATGTAAATTTTGTCACTTGTTCCTGCAGAATTTTCCCCTAATCGTTTACTGGCAGTATTATGTAATGATTTTTTTTAGCCAAATTTCCGACCTTTATTTTTTATTACATTTGGTGTCAGGGAGTTCATGTGGCTTTTTGATCTATTAAACTTATTTATAGCGAAGTAACGCGCAATTTTTATAGCTTTACTTATAGGAAACTATTTCATCATGTGAAAATATTTCTGAAACTATTTCATCATGTGGAAATACTTCTCCTGCAATCATATGGGAATCATATCATATATACACAAATTAGAGAGCAAAATATTTGCATTTATATATATATTAACTAAAAATGAAAATATTGTTCGCCGATTATTCTATGCCTTTCTATGCAGAAGACGTGTTCCTCCCTACATGGTTTCCTTAAATCAAAATCAAGCTTCTTGTCGGCATAATATCTTGCTTCGCGACAGGTTTAAATCATTTGACAGTTTCTTACTATTTCGATCACTTTCGTCTTTTATTTAAGCATTTTATTTCAATTTACAAAAAATTCCTTCTACAGTATTTTGATGATATTAACGAACTTGTTGGTTTTCGTATACAAATGTGTGAAAATTCAGGAATTCAATAACAATAGCCGAATAATAACATTAACTGCGATTACATTAAGCGTCGCCAGCTGTGTCTGAATAATATGCATGATAAAATTGTAATAGTTCAGTATACGATAGCATGCGATTATGATATCTAATAAATAGATTAATGCTTACTTATGGCCATTGAGCGCCGCGTGGTGAAGAGATGTGTAACCACTCTGATCTTGAGCGTTAGCTCCTGGCCCTCGTCTCAAACTAAAACAAAGAAATGAAAAATGACTCTCTTTGAAAAAACATCTTCGTTTTACCAAAACTGACAAAGTAAATGATGCAAAGCACACACAGAAAATAACAGAGTTCATCTATGAGACACCTTTAAACAGATTTTAAAATATTTTCATTAACTCCTTCTAATTATTCCAAATTCAGTACATGTGATAAATGCACGAGAAATATGAATAAAACAGGAGCGTAAAAAAACGAAATGCAGTTATCTCTGCTACAGAATTCTTCATGTCTGATAGTTCTAAAAGGAGATTATTGATTTAGCTTAATAAATATTAACAAGGATCATTTTAAAATTTTTCTCAAAATAATAATTTAAGAACACCAAAAAACATTATGGAAGTGGCATGCGATTCGCCCGAATCGCATGCTACTTCCATAATTGTAACAAGTAATGTAATCCTGTTTAGTCTGCGCTTTAATAAAAGAATGATAACCCATGGCACAGGAAATAAATGTATTAAACACGAGACATTTTCAGCTCATTTCTGATGAAATTATTATGGCATGTGTTTCGTAGATTTCCTCCCGTGTAGTGAAAATAAAAGCTAGGAATCAGGACTGTTAACATTTGCGCTCGTTCGTCTGTTTGTTTGTGACATCATCTCCTCCGGAACGGCGGGGAGTTGAGTTACGAGAGAAGTACTCCACGGATTCCAAAAATTCGTGGGAAGCCATTTCGACGATTCTCATCTTCGTACGATTTAATCAGCCGAGATATTAATTTTAAAAAAATCTCAAAGGTTTCAGATTTTAAATTACGTCCAAAGATGCGTTTTTAACGTTTTGTGTGTTACCTTTATTTATTAAATATCATATTCTTTGCACTTAAACCATAAAATTCAGTTCAATAGCAATGTCGCAAAATAATTTTAAAATGAGCATATCTTCAAAATTTCCGATACACAGTTCCGCACGCTAGAGATAAAATTTTTTTTTTTTTTTTTTTTCGTAGAACGTTGCCACTGAGAGCTTTTAAATCCTTGAGTTTGTTAATCAAAAATTCGTTAAATTTTCACAAAATATGAAATTGATAATAAAACAAATTCCAGATTTCAAATTTGGGGTTTCAGATGCCCATATTCGCAGTCAGATTACGTCATCATTCAAAATTGGATGGCTCTATGTACCATTGCTTTATCACAGTGCGAGAAACATACATACATTTATGCAGATTCTTCATTATTTAATTTCTTCAAATATAATACAGGGAGATAGAAAATCATTACCACGGAGAAACCAGTTTCATTTCTCGTAAAGAAATAACACGGCAATTTTCAGTTAATAAATTTCAACTCATTTAATGATTTGTGTATTAAACATTTTAGCCCAAAACGGATTGTAATCTCGAAGCACGATTTTGCGTTTTGTCTCGCTTTAATAATCGTTTCGCTTGTCATTCAAGTCTCTTGCAATTCGGAAAAATATAAAATACTGCTCTTTCACATTTAATTTGTCTATATTACTTAACAAACTAAATTATTTAAAAGCAATAGATACAGTTCTTAATATTATTATTTTTTACTTTTTAATCTGATTAATTTAAATAAAAATGAATTTAATTCATGACATATCTAATTAAAAACAGTAAATAATTTTGTATACTTACATTACATATCTATTCACTTTTTAAATACACAGAAAATATATAACGTTCCCGTATTACTCTAAAAGCACCTTCATCTAATATCGTATAAAATGTTTCGCTGATCCACTGGACCATGTCTATCGATAATCTCTACTGATAAACAATATTACATTTTAAAAGAACCCTTTAGTGCGCTCGTTAAAATCTAAACTCTTTAAGATTTTTTTTGGGTAATGATTATTATATTAACTTGAATATTAAATTTTTATTTAAAGTTTCTTGCCTTCTTATTTTTAACGCTAATAGCCTTACGAAACGGAGCAATAAAAAGAAGTTTCGATTAATGTTTACAATACATAATGTAAATATCTCGACCACATGTCAGGTAATACATCTGTCGCTAAATTATGCTGCAAAGAGGAGTCTAGAGATATGTAGTTTATCTCATAACGTTGTAGAGATATTAAATTTTTTTTTGGAGCAAGAGAGATGAAAAATTAGCAACGCCTTCGCCGGGAATCGAAGCGCGGACCTCTGGGATACGCACACAGCGTGCAGACCACCACGAAGGCCTGCCAAGAAGGCGGGAGAAGTACCTTATAACGTTTTAAACATTAGTTCTGTGTCCCTGGTCCTCTGACAAGGTTATATCATAGTATGATCGTATTTTAACTATCTCCTATTTGACCATCAGCTATTTTAAGTATATATAACCCATTATTATTATTATTATATTATATGAATTTCCTTTATTTATATATATATGTGTAAGTGTGTGTAAGAAAGTTAAAAAAATATGTAAATAGAAATCATAATTTAAATTAGCAATAGCCCTTAATGCTTAATTTTAATTTGGGTATTTCCCCTCTCTTTTCTAAAAATAGTAATATCTTTTTTGCACTGCCTCATTTCGAGATTAATCCATGCCATATGAATCTTATATAGCGCTGGTGACGTAAATGGGACTAAAGCAGCCAATAACAATTTTTCAGCATCATATATCATCCAATGAAATGCATTGAAAACAGAAAATAACACATTCTGAATTAAGATTTCACCCTGAATAGAAGATACTTGCTTTTTGTCCTTCGGCCTACACAGACTGCTGCTTGCTGCTTCTCTTTTTACCACAAAGCTAACCAAAATGTACATGTTCTTGAAAAGGCACGAATCGTTCTCTAATTTGTTTGCAGCTGCAAAATATTTACCGAAATAAAAATGAATATTTAATCCACCTCGGGTGCCAAGTTTGCTGTTCATTGCGAATCAAAATCTACGAAATGCCGTATTTCTACATCTACGCCATCAACTGCTTCTATAATATTACTACAACTAATATACATATGTGCGTGTGTGTGATAATTTTGAGTGAGAGACTGCGGATGAATTAAAAGATCGCAGCGTAGATCGAGAAAATAGCCATTAAACGATAAGATACTCGTTTACGTCGTAACTACTTGGAGAGACCCCAATGCGTAGATTCGTAGAAGAAATAAGGAAGACAGCTTTGACGAAAAGAACACATTAATTTATTCGTAACATTCTTGTGGTCCTCATCATTCTTGGGCGCGTGAAGCACCCCGTTTTTGTATAAAGCAATTTACATCTTAACAATGACCAAACCAGAGCGGAACGCTGCGAAGTACGTTTGCCAGCAACAGGGAAACTAGGAGGAAAGATAGAGGATGCGCAGTTAGTAGGAGTGCCATTTATAGTAAAAATTTTGCTTAATCGGATTGACTGAGATTTCATCGCATCGTAGGCGTAATTACATAAATGGATTAATTTTCAGATGACGCACTTTCGATGAAAGATAGGAAGGGGACGTGAGACAAATTAAAAACAGGAATTAAAAGGACTAGTGTTTAGCAATTTTGTTAATAATTTTCTTTCGTATTTTACATCTTACACACAAACACACACATATATATGTAAAAAATATGTCAAATATAAATTATAAACTAAATTAGAAGTGTAAATTAATTTCCCCCTCTGTATTCTGAAAATCGTAATCTCTATTTGCACTGCATCATTTCGAGTTTAATCCACGTCATACGACTCTTGCATTATTCTGATGATGTGAATGGAATTAAAACTCAAACACCTAATAATAATTTTGTAGCAGTATTAATGATCCAATCAAAATGCATTGAAAACTAAAACTAACTGAGTCTGAATTAAGATTTCATCCGCAACATGTTTGCTGAAATAAAATGAAATAAATGATTTTATCTGCCTCAGTTGCCAGGTTCCTGTTCAATCTGGATCGGCGTTTCAGCATAGTACGTAAGTAAAGTTCTTGGTCTTCATTACAAATTTAACTATCTACGTTCTACGCCATCAATACTACAAAGTTCCTTTATTTACTTTTTTTTATTATAAAACGCAAAATATTAATACTACCCTGGTACGTGCAACAAACTACTGTACCGTTTTCGGAGTTAAAGTAAAATATTAGTCGATCTTATCTTTAAAATAATATAATGTTTTAAAAAAACATTATATTATTTTAAAGTTTATACATTTTATGTTATATATTTTATGTTTTAAAAAAAATAAGCATATTTTTTTAAAACATAAAATGAAGATTAATTACAGTTTAATGTTACAGTTAGACTTGCCGGTTGAATTATTTTATAATAGTTAATTACATATATGTGTGTGTGCGATATAAAATATGAAAGAAAACTAGTAACTTTAATTTACAAATAATCCTTTTAATTCCTTGTTTTAATTTGGCTACTTCTCCTTCCTAAACTAAAGTGCGTCACCTAGAGAACTAATCCGCATCATGTCACCTAATAAATTCTGCAATGTAGTATGCTGTTGTCCAACCGATGTCCAAAATTTAAACAAAGAAGCCAACTCTATAAATACCCCTTTACTGAAATGCGCACACAATTTTACTTTTTTCCTTTCGCTGTGCTTGCACGCGTCATTTCTGCTCTCCGCTTCATCTATTGTCTCGAGATGTGATCAGTTATGCACCCACAATGATGTGTAAAAGAGAATATATATCCTAAAAATTATTAATCAGGATAAAATTATGTGGTAAATCTAACAGCTACTTTTGGTTTCCAAGTTCCATCTTTCTATTATGCATTCTATTTGTATGCGAACAATGTCTGTAACCATCTTGGCCATTACTAAAAAATAACTGGTGCCTTCTCTCCCACGCGTCCTAATTTATTATTACATGTATATATTACTGTAAATATATTAATATATTTTAATTTAAGTTTCGAAATAAATTTTAGTACTGATTTTGAATTTCTGCTCATTAATGTTAACATTCTAGGTTGTACTTTTATAACCATAGTTTTAGTATCACTGACATCTTATCGAATTTCAAATGCATGCTCTTAATTTAAACATCTTAAGA